AACTCAATGTTTGTGACATGAACAAGCTCTTGTGTTGCACGGGCAGATGGTCGGGGAGGAACCATCGGGAGAAAATCGGCGTCCACGTGGCCTTCGACCAGGTTCTGAACATCAAACCCTATTGCTGCACGGGCTCAGGTCACTCTGTTCACAGAGGGGGCTACACCTACGACCTGTCGGCCGTGGTGATGCACCACGGCAAAGGCTTTGGCTCAGGGCACTACACCGCATACTGCTACAACACAGAAGGAGGTGAGAACGCTGGACAAATTGCGCTGTTGAAAAGCGCGGCATCGAATCTAACTGGATTGCTGTGCCCCGCAGGTTTCTGGGTCCACTGCAATGACTCTGAGATGAAGGTTTGCAGCGTGGAGGAAGTGTGCAACACTCAGGCCTACATTCTCTTCTACACCCAGAGGTCCGCTTAGGGACTTCTCGCTGTGAGCCTGAGCTGCATTTATGAAATTGTTTCGCACCCAGATGTCACCAAACACACTCTTGAAAATAGCAATAGGGACTAATGTTTCGATGATGTTCCCGGCAGGCCGCGGCGATCACATTTCAGACCACCGTAGATGTGCGACAAAGCAAACGTGACAGACCAAAAAGAATTTGCCACAACAGTCGCCGTGTTGGTTAGCCTCTGCGGTAGCACGTAATTGCTTCAAAGCCAGCAAAACTTTGATATGGAGAAGAAAAGAAAAAAAAAAAGAAGAAATTCCATGGCACCAAATCCCAAATGAGTTTGCCATGGCCACCGAGAACAAAATGCAAACAGAGCATGAACTGACAAATGTCCTAAGTGGATTTGCACAGACCTCCGCCAAGATTGACAGAAATTCAAGCGCCCTCTACTTGTGCGTTTTTGGTTTGTGGTCATCCATGTTGGATTGTACCACATTTGATTCTGCAACAGGGAGAACCATGACACAGCGAGAAGAGGAAATACATTTCTCTTTCTCCGTCTTGATTCAGATTACCAACAAAATGTATGAAGGACTATTAGGGCCACATGCTAAAGAAAAATAATTAAGTCGTATGGCCACAAGAACAAAGTTGTAATAGTTTAAATCATTGTAACCGTCGGCTTGTTTGGTCAGCGACCACCACAGTGAGTCACTCGCATGACTTGTAATCCTCTAAATCATAATTTTACAAGAGCAAAAAAAAAAGACAGTTTGTCTCTCTATATGTGCCCTGCAATTGTGTTGGCGACGAAACCGGGATGTACATCACCCCTGCTGAAGTCAGGTGGGATGGTCTCCTCCTCAACCTGTGAACCGAATGAGGACAAGCGCTATTAAAAATGGCATGAATATATGGCAGCTCTCAAGACGTAGACAGCGGCCGCTTGTCTCCAAATGTTGCGTTTACGTCCACATGGAATTTTAACACTCACTTGTTAAAATGGCAACTTCATTCTCACGTTTCCTCCCCTTTTCTAAAAACCATGACCTATTTTTAATTGTCTTACTCCGTACTACTACTCAAATTTGGCCGTTTGATCACATTTCTACTTCATTCTTTTTGGATGACCACGATTACATGAGCTTTATCGTTAACTGTATGTCTTTTCCCCTTGTAATTTTACTTTTTTTTTCTCACTATGGCTCTGATAGTCCTTCATAATAACATTTAATGTAATCTTGTTCCACACTTGTGCCACCTCTCCACAAAATCATGCAAATCAATCATTTCAATTTTGCATAAATGGCGGAGGTAATTTAGCCACTGTGTTTCGAGCCTCATTTTCGGATGTGTACAAAGAAACTTTTTCATAAATGAAGCGACAGGTCAGTCCGCCTGTGGGACCAGCAGACTGTGCGAGCGGGTTCGATTAGGTCCTGCTAAATATCCAGTGGTGTGCTTGCATTTAAAAATTAAGGAGAAAAAAAGCTCATTTATATTGAGTATGAGGACCGAGCAGGCACACATACCTGAAACTGCATTTTATGTTGAACACAATACAACACACAATCTGTATTCCATGACTTTTTTTTTGTTTGTTTTGATTTGTTTTATCACCTAGAGCGGTTATATTTTGTAGCTTTACATATGTCAAGAGGGGGATTAACTCTCCCCAAAATGGGCCATCTTACTTGAAACAAGATTCCGAGAATTTCAGACTTGTGTTCCTTGTGGTTCTGATTTTTATTTCAAATATTTTTTACTTTTATTGTGAAATGTCACTTTTCGATTCCTCCCCGTGGACATCATGATGTCGTCTCCTGGTTTGTATGTTCTCCTCAGCGAGGTTGCTTGAGTTCATTCTGTGTTCAACTGCCATGAAAGGAAGCCAAAAGGACACTTGACTGAGAAATGACGGAGGGTTTTTGAAAAGCGGGTGGGGGTTTGCTCATCTAGCTGGTCCTAGCTTTGTGATTGTTCATTTTTTTTAAATTTTGCTGCTCCTATATGGTTTCTACATGGGAGCTCCCACCCACCCACCACCACTCTCCCTCATTGAGTCCATGTGTAGACGAGACCGGCGATGGAGACAAGCCACTGCAGAAGTGATGAATGTTTCTTTTTTTTTTTTTTTCCTCCTCCTTTTCAAGAGACATTTGGTACCTTACGTTTTAGCACCTGAAAGCAATATATTGTAAATCTTAAACCTTGACAGGAATTTAAGATCAAATCAGGAATTGTTTTTTTTTCTACTCTGCTGTTTCTATTAAAGTCTTTAGAATTTGCTAGCTAATCGAGAAGAAACACTTGTGTTTGATACGAGTGAAATCCACACTACATTTGTCAACTTCAAGTCAGAAACAATCTTAATGACGATGAATGTCCTACTGCTTAGAGGTCAGGTGAGTTCTGTTGTTAACTTTAAGAATACATGTCATCAATGTAATGGTCATATGGGTTTTGCCTGACAGTTATTAAAAACATGAAGCAATTTCTTGTAAGATTCTGATCCATTTTTGGTGACTCAAAATGCTCTTTGCCCTTTCATTACCGTGCGAATACTTTCTTTAAAACGAGGCTTCAAACTTAATTGCCACACTCACTTTAAGTTTAGTGCCAAACTAAAGATAAAATAGATTTTAACACCGTATAACTGCGCAGGATTTGCTATCTTAATGCTAACATGCAACACACGAGACATGCTAACAAATATCATTTATGCGTTGGTGTTATAATCCTTTATCCAATGGACGTTTATCTGACAATGACGCTCACCGGCATATATTCTTCAACCTCTGCAAAGAATGACTGAAATTACTGCAAAGCGAAAAGTGTCCATGTAGACCAAGGTGTCAAACTCGAGGCCCGGGGGCCAAATCTGGCCCGCCACATCTTTTTATGTGGCCCGCGAGAGCAGCTCAAACATGTCAACTTCCGTGATCCTTTCTAAAATGTCTACCAAAATTTTCAATTCTTGTATGTAATGAATAAGATATACAGTCAAACCTCGGTTTTCGACCGTCTCTGTTCTCAACCAAACCGGTTATCGACCAGAAAATTCGAGATTTGTACGCCTCAGATTACGACCGAAAACCGGTTTTCAACCAAACCCGAAGACGCCACTTGACTCCTCTCGGCTTCCTTACACGAGGAAGTGACGCTTCCTCGTGAACGCTACGTTCATTGTGAGCAGACGTGTTTGTTGCGATTTACGCAAATCTGACTGTTTTTATGTTTATGTTATTTCTGCATAGTGTATTAGCACCTAATCATGAGGTCATGAAATAGTTTTGGATTTCGAACAAATCACTTTTCGAACAGCCTTATGGGACGGATTATGGTCGAAAACCGAGGTATGACTGGATTCTAAACATTTTCTTGTTACCAAACAGCCCTCCAAGTGAAACACTAACTAAAACGTGGCCCGGGCCAAAAATGAGTTCGACATCCCTGGCCTAAGCCATCTAATGTGGGCCGAGCGTCAAAGACCGATCAAGGAATTGCGGAGAGCTTTAATTCCGCTTGCTGTTGCGACCGAATTAGCGCATACATCCATCAAAACGTCAGTCCCGTAATGCAGGAGCTGACTGGTGACTGTTGAGGGAACCCCCAACCCTCAAAAACAACAGGCTGAAGATAGCTACACCTGCCGGGTCAAACGGTGCAGACAGCTGCGTGGCATGCCATCAGGGCCTTGCTCCCATCTCGGCCGTGACGTCGGCGATCCCAAGTGTTCCGAGGTGTCAAGCATGACTGCACACGTGAGCAAATCTGGCTTCATCAAGCCGTGGGCCCCCTCTGCCCTTTTTATTCTCTCCCTGTGAAGTGTTTTATGGGGAACATGCATTCCGTGCAGTCCGATAATGCTGACTCGGGATAAGCGTTGCCCCTCCGGGCCTCAGAGTGGGGAAGGAGCTGGCCTGCGTCACGAGATGACGCTGCTGCCCGGTGGATCGGGAGCCGCTTCTGCCCGCCTTGTCCTTCCCCCCTCGCACGCTCGGATCAGCTGCTCTTTCGACTCCCTCGCGCAATTGCTGTTACTGAAGCTAACCAGCGGCCTGCGATGCGCACTACACGCTGGTTTCCCATCTCATGTTCTTACACCTGTGGCAACATGAAAACTCGCAAAACACGAGACACCTTTGGAGCTTCGGCGAAGCGTTTTCACAGCCGAGGGCCGACGCGGTAAACTTGCGGTTCGTAAATCTGCTTCAAAGTTCTGAGATTCAACGTGTCCAATTTGGAGTTGAAGCGTAAGACTTTGACGTGGACATTGGACAGTTGGGACATGTGCGTTTCAAATTTTGGAGGAGGTCAAATCACAAGTAAATTAATCTGTGACAAATTGCCCCCCCCCCCACACCCAAAAAACAGTCATTTTTGGGGTCGCTCATTCAACTCTAGTAGAACACTACAATAACAGAAGATCTCATTTTTAAGCAACCAAGCAAAAGGGGATCTTAAAAGAGGAGCAGTCAGAAAGCCGGCCACTTCCTTTGCATGGCAGCTTCATTTTCTTAAGAGCTTTCATGTGTGCCGACTTGCTGAACTGCACGAAACGGCAAAAATCACGCGAACCGCCCGTTCTTGAAGCATGACGTACGTCCATCTCTTGACGCTCAGGATTGCAACTACGCCTTCTATTAAATCACCAACAAGAGACTGTTCACATGTACAGTGGTACCTCTACTTACGAAATGAATGTGTTCTGAAAGAAATTTTTTTTATTCGAAAAATTTTTAAGTAGAGACGCGTTTTCCATGTAAATCCGCTAATCCGTTCGAAGCCCCCCCCAAAATTCAGACATGTTTCCTAAAGCATAAAAAATGCATCAAAATATGTCACAAATACATGTTACAATGAGAGTATTGCATAATAAATGAGTTATGCATAATGTAAAAAAAACGAAGTCGAGTAAAGAATAAAAATGATGGTCATTTAACTTAACTGCATGGTTTTTTTGTCCTCTTTCGTTCATGTTCTCTCTCAGAAGTGTTTTTTTGCCGGACGTTTTGTAAAGAACTGAACCAAGGACGTTTGCTTTTGTCGGCTTTTAACAACCCTTCGAAAATGTCCAGGTGAAAACTTCAGCATAGTGAGCGATCGCCCCACTGGTGAACACTTTTTCTGGGTGACTCACATTGACGTAAAACTAACGGAACGCCTCATGGCCCGAGGGGTGAATGACGAAGACGGTGTATAGACACAAATTATCTATCTACACACACAGACTCATACGGTAGTGGTCCCTCTCAGCCAATGGGATGCCAGGAAGATGCTCGATAGTAGCCAATGGCGGAGCAGCTCGAAGTATGTTGCATTCAAGAAACGCTTTGACTAGCAGCCCATAATGTATTTTTTATCTTTCATATCTTGAAATTTATTTTGTAACCAGAGGCAATATTTTCCTGTTGAGGCGTTTCGTAACTTGAAAATTTCGTATGAAGAGACATTCGTAAGCAACTGTATATTTTGCTATGTTGTTCCTTTGGATAATGAAACACTTGTTGCTTCCTCGGTCACTTCATTGACCACGGGGGTGTGACATAATACCCCCCACCCTCACTTGGCAATGCGAACCAAACCTTTTGCACGCCTTCTTGGTGTGGAGGAACATACTGTATTAAATACATGACTAATCAGCCACAAATAGTGAGCGCTGCAAAACAAAAACCTCAAAAGTGAAAACGCCTGCGGCGCCAGACTTGGAAGTTCATCAGACAAATGTGCTTGAAAAAGTTACACTTGGTATCGTACTTGCGAGTCCAAGTGACAAAAAGTCTGAAAAAGAGCATCCTCCTCATTTCCAAGCCAAACCATCTTGCTTGCACAATAACACGGACAACGACGATTAAAGATATATGAATAAAACATTTGTAGCTTCCGAACTTTAATCTAAGCTAAGCCCTCTTTAAATTCTAAAATTCTGCCCGATTATAAGTCGCAACGCATTTTACACACGACGACCTTCATTCATTCAGCCATTTGGAAACTGCCTGCACAAATCGCGACACAAGGTATCCATCTAAATGACACTAGATGCATTTCAGGAATGTCAACACAAACCTTGAAATGATATCAGTCAGAATCACAACGATCTCTTCAGTGGCTTTTTATCCTTATCACACCCCCTCCCAAAAAAAAAAAAAAAACACTTTGCTTATCACTGGCACGAGGTCCGGCACCATTCCAAATTTTAATGCCGCACCCTCGCTAAAGCTGTTGGGCCTCCGGATTGACAAGGATCTTTATACAGGACCACACCAGGTCTGTGACTCTTGCAAGAAAAAAAATAAAAATAAAAAAATGTACACTGGAGTCTTTCTCCAAGTGTGTAAACGGGAACATACAAACATCTCCGTGTGCCAAAATACTGTAGCAAACAGCGCTTGTTCACGGGGAATTATTGACACAGCCTGTAGGGAAACGTCAGAATCCCCCAAGCGAGGTTCGGGAGCGTCTGATTGGGGGAAATGTCGGAGGCGGTCATGTGGTTTAATGCAATGTGATAGGAAGAACCACTCTGTGGGTTAGTGGGCTTCACGAGAGGAGGGGGTGGGGAGAAAAAAAAAGAAAACTCATTAAACTTTTACCGCAGTACAGTGTGTACCCGTTGCGCTATAGGATGGTAAAACACTGACTGCTTGAATATTACTCAGCGCAGTTTTATTTATGACAATTTATGTCACGTGAAATTCTTTCCAAAAAAAAATCCACAAAAACATCTCCACATGAGCACATCTTTTTTGTACAAGTGCAATTGCACATCCACACCAGTAAGTGGCAGTGGCGCTCTCATTTATGATCAGTCAAATTCATGCACTTCAAATCTTGTGTGTGTGTGTGTGTGTGTGTGTGTGTGTGTGTGTGTGATTGACAGCATCTATCGACTGAGATAATGCCACTTCCTTTTTACGTATGGGTGGAGGGAGGAGTTTGTGTGTCTGAAGCTGATGTTTTTTAGTTTTTTTCGTTTAGAAGACCCACTGCAACATATTTAATCTGTGGGATAGAATCATCGTGTGAAGATTGTTGGCTATACCACTTAGGTATTAAAAAGAATTTTTTTTTTTTTTTTTTTTTTTTAAATCCATGCTAGCTTGGAACACAATGTTTCCATGCAGCTCAATGGACAGGGCCTCATTGTGATCATGACCCTCAGCTGGGGGTGCGGAAAGACGCCCGTGCACTCGCTTGCAAACAAGTCGGAAAAGGAGACCGAGGAGTCGGCGCATGCAGCCAAAGGTAAATAATGAAGAGTCAAGAGGGAGCGAGGGGGAGGGGGAAGCAAAGCATGTTCTGGAAAAGTCAGGCGAGCAACTGACTTGGGCACCGTTTTCAAAGACCACGGATCGCAATTTCTTCACGGTTTTACAAGCGTTCCGGTTGTCTTCATTTTGACAAAATACCCCAACCATCAAGAATTACAGTACTCGTTTCACTTATTGTTTTGAGGTACACAGAAATCAATCGATTCTGATTGAGCCGTCCTGTCCC